GGCGCAGACGACTTGAGGTCTTGCGGGGCGCTTCTTTTGCCTCCCTCCTGCCCCCCCCTTTTGACGCTGCACCGGCAGTGCATCTTGTATGTCATTACACCAGAAGTGGGATGGTTTGAAGTGGATGGTTTGAAGTGGGATCGATCAAGAGATCGATAAGGAGATCGACCAGGCACCCGGGAACCCGGGAACCCGGAACCCGCCGAAATCGGCCCGGAACCAATAACCAGGAACCCAGGAACCCAGAACTGGGACCTCAGGAACCCAGCCGGCCACCAACATCAGCGGGAAACTTTCGCCAAATCTTTTAATTCCCGCTCGGACCCCTTCAGTGCAAGCACTGATTGGGGAAGGTCGTTCTCCTTCCTCTTCCCTGCGCTGCAGGCTGTGCTGAGCTTCTCCCTCCCGCCCATTTGCGCCGGACTGCGCAAGTCTTGGGTGCGAATGCGGACTGTGGTAACTAGGGTGAACCGTCGCGTCGCTGCCCCCTCGTTCCCCTCTTCCCTTCACCCGTGCGCCATGCTTTCTCCAGCCCCCCCCTCAGAGAGAGAGCTTCAGCGAGAGAGACAGAGAGGCACACACCGATATATATATATATATACATATACATATACATGTACATGTACATATACATATACATATACATATACATATATATATATACACACGTGCACACAAGTAAGACAAGGGGGTGCGGGAAGCGATCGGAAAGTGTAGAAGCCGAGGGAAGCGTGTGCCACGCGAGCGGCCCGCTCCTACACCGAGCGGCCGCATATGCCCACGCGGCCTGTCCGAAGAGCTCTTTGCCGTGGCTGCAGGGCCGCCCGCGGGAGAGCGCCCGCCGCCGCTCGGCCCCCCCGGGCGGCGGCGGGGCGCCCCCGTCGAATGTTATCTACGCCGTGGCCCCCGCCCTCTGCAGGCGGGCGGGGGCGCGCGCTCCCCCGCCTCGGCGCTCCGCTCCGCGGGCCGGGGCGCAATATATCAGAGGGAGGGGGAGAGAGGCACCGAGGCCGCTACGCATGGTTCCTTTCGAATTCGTCGAAAGTTCTTTGACCTTTTTGGGGGGCCAAGACCCTTCCATTTCTAGTTGTTCTATCCTGGTCCTCTTCCTGGCCACTGCACATGGTTGATTTCTCTAATTCGTCGAGAGTTCTTTGGTTTTTTGGGGGACGCCAAGACCCTGTCATTTCTCTAAGGGTTCTATCCTGGTCCTCTTCCTGGCCGCTAGGGGGGGCAGGAACAAGTAGAAACGAGCACACTTAGACACGAGAGCACGACTAGAAATGAGCGGCGTCCACCCTGGCCTCGCTTTCCCCTTTTGGGGGCTTCCTGGGAGGCCCTCGCCGCCACCGCTGGATTCGCCTCGCACTTCTGGTCAGAGCGCAGCCTGGGAGAGGTCCGGGGAGTAGCGGCATCGGTACCTCATGGTTCCCCCATATCTACAGCCTGCCGAATTCACAAGCTGGACCCGCTGCAATCTGCAGCCTCCCACCTGAGCGGCCTGTGCCGGGCCCACTCTCCCTCTTCCTTGTGCTCCTCTCCGTTCTCCTCCCTTCTCCTCTTGAGCCCGTTCTGGCACAGAGGCCACGACACATGCATGTGCTGCGAGGCCCTCGTGGCCATGCAGCATCGTGTGCGCTCGTGTTCCCTGTTCTGGCATTAGCTTCGTGGCCCTCGTTCAGGGCTCTTGCATCGGGCCTGGCAGGCAGAGGGAGGCTTTGTTCTCTCGACGGCCGGAGTTTTGAGATAATTGATTCGTGGGAAAAAATGTGAGCGGCCTCTGCAGAGCTGGCCACCGGATGGAGGGCATGAGTGAGCGCCAGTGCCTGGCATGGCTCGTCATCGGCTCGGTAGTGCGGGCTGGGACCCGAACGTTATCTTCTTCGGGTCGAAGACGTTCCTCCTCCTCCTCCTCCTCATCCTCCTCCTCATGGCCCTCCTTTTCCTTCCCCTGGATGCCCCCGAGCATCTGGCAGCTTTCGGAGGCCTTTGGAGGTCCGAGCGTCGAGGATCACCAGAGGCGTTCAACAACACTACAATTCCAACCGTGCTTCCCCGACGCCGCGCGCCCTTTTCTCTGGCTTCTGCAGCGCCCTGGCGGAGGAGAGCGGTGGGCAGCGACGCGGGGGTGGTCGGCGGAGGGCGCCGCCCCCGTGGCCCCTTCTCCTTGTCGGAGGGAGGAAGAAGAATGAGGAACAGCGAGGAGGGAGGAGGAGGAGGAGGAGGAGGAGGAGGAGGAGGAGGAGGAGGAGGAGGCGGAGGTGGAGGAGGAGGAGGAGGAGGAGGAGAGGAGGAGGGAGGAGGAGGAGGAGAGGGAGGAGGAGCAGGAGGAGGAGGAGGAGAGGGAGGAGGTGAGGGGAGGAGGAGGAGGACGAAAAGGAAGAGGATGAGGAGGAAGGGGAGCACAGTGCAATGGGAGGCTCTTGGGTGTCCGAATCTCCTCAGACAAGAAAAAACTGCCGATGCGTGTGACAGCCATCTGCTGCGACCGCGCTGCCCATTTTTTTTTCTCTCTCTCTCTCTCTTGCTTTTCCCTCCTGCCTTTTCCTCTCTCTCCTCTCCCTCCTCCACCCCTCCTCCTCCTCCTCCTCCTCCTCCTCCTCCTCCTCCTCCTCCTCCTCCTCCTCCTCCTCCTCCCCCTCCTTCCCCCGTAGCCATGTTGGCTCAAGTCTCCATGCCGCTGTACGGCCACACGGAGACCGGTGGGCCGCGGACCCCAACCGTTTTTGCAGCAACGCCCCCGGGTGAGCTGGCATCCGCTGCGCGCCGCCACGGCTCCATGCGCCTCGCGACGGTGGAGCCGCCTGCTCCCGTCGCCGTGCCTCGCCCTCGCTGCGCGGCCTCCACAGTGGCGCCAGGCAGCTGTCGCTCGTCCTGCGCCGCGCCGTGGTGCTGGTGCAGATCGCGCTTCGACGTCTCCGTGGGCAGCTCCGTCACTGGGGAGGTCTCAGTCGGCGACCGGTCAGGGCACGAGCCGAGATAAGCCTGACCACGACCCCGCACGGCGAGGACCGGGTCGTGCGCGTGGCGCTGCTGCTGAGAGGCAGAGCGTCGGGCTCTCGGCGACGGCCGCGCGCTGCCGCTTCCCGAGGCGCCCGTGGCGGCCCCCTCGGGAGGGCAATGCGAGCACCGTCCTCCTCCTCCTCCTCCTCCTCCTCCTCCTCCTCCTCCTCCTCCTCCTCCTCCTCTCCTCCTCCTCCTCCTCCTCCTCCTCCTCCTCCTCCTCCTCCTCCTCCTCCTCCTCCTCCTCCCCGGTTCCCGAGGCGCCCGTGGCGGCCCCCTCGGGAGGGCAGTGCGAGCAGCGTCCTGGCCCTGCCCGCACGCCAGCTCGATGCGGACCCAGAGATCAAACGCACTGAGAAACTCAAGACGGAGGTTTTTCGCAGTTTTCGGACTCTAGGGCCCTTCGCCGGGCCTCGAGACCGTCAAAAAACGATTCAGGATGAAGAACTGGTCCTGGGGAAAGGATCGAGACTTCTGGGGACTCCGTATTGAAAAAATCACGACGTCGGATCTCTGGGGAGGAGGGCGCCGTGAAGAACTGCAGGACGACGCAGCTGCCAGAGGTCCTCGTGGGCATCAGGAAGTACATCCAGACGACGTGCCAAACTCAGGTCCACGAGCTACCCCTGGAGGAGCCACATGGCCCTTCGCCGCATTCGACTGCGCCGCGACCGCCCGCAGCCTTACCCCCCTCATTGCTGGAGGCAGCGTTCCACCGACACTTCCCGGCGCGAGGCCAGGGCCAGCGGCCGAATCCGCTGGAGGAGGAGGGGTGGCAAGGCATGACCCTCTCCACCGACCTGGAGGAGATCCACGGGGTTCCGCTGCTGCCCGCGCACCCCCCTGGAGTACCTGGACCACGAGACATGCTCGACGCCAGGCACCACCTGCCGAACCCGTTCCGCCTGGAGGAGCTGCACCACCTGGGGGGCCCGTTCCACCTGGAGGAGCTGTACCACCTGAAGGAGCAGTGCCACCAGCGGATCTTGGAGGCTGGCTTCTCGCAGGAGCAATCGTCCTCGCAGAAGCGGTTCCTGGTCGTCCCGCAACGTGCCCGTGCTGCGTCCTTGTCCATCGCCAGCAATCTACAAGCCTGGCTCCTGGCACACGTCAACGCGGCCGTGGGCACCGTCAGCCAGGCTGCATCAACGTCTGTCGCGGCCTCCATCGATCAGCTTCGCCTCGCCACCAATCGCAGGCTGGACGCCTCCGAGTCAGCCATCGCAGATCTTCGGCAACGCGTTGCAGATTCAGAAGCCCGGCGTCAAAGAGCAGCATTTGTCGCCGAGGTCCAGCGCCAGCTCGCCATCGCCTGGGCTCAGTTACCCGCCCTGGGCGCCGTTGCGCTGGCAGACTGGGGCCGTGCGCCAGACCCCTCGGTCCATTATTGGTTACCCTCTTGTGTTCCCGCATCGCGCAGTTGATCGCCGAAGCTGGTCTCGAATACAGCATGGTCCAGTTGAATGGCGCCGCCCCTGTCAACCGCTTCACACTTCAGCTACCGCTCCTCGGTCAGCAGCATTGGCGCCCTAATTTACCTTCCAGAGGGCCAATGGTGCAATTTGTTTGCTAACGCTGCTGCTGGACAACGCGCTCCGCCACGGGTGTTCCTCTTCCTCCTGTGTTGACGGGCATCATTACCAACATTTGCTCGGCAATGTTGCTCAATCGATCACTCTCGCTTTCCACATTTACCACGCCATGGAAGGGGTGATCGGCACTTCCCCTCACGTTTACGGTGCTGCCTCTGCCGCTGCTCGCTTCCGCTCCCTCGCTGTGCAGCGCCTTCTGTTCGAGTCGTGGCACTGGGGCCCCTCGGAGGGCTTCCTCCTCCCTGTCCTTCTCCTTTTCCTCCTCCCTCTCCTCCTCCTCCTCCTCCTCCTCCTCCTCCTCCTCCTCCTCCTCCTCCTCCTCCTCCTCCTCCTCCTCCTCCTCCTCCTCCCCGTCCTCCTCCCCCTCTCCTCCTCCTCCTCCTCGTCCCTGGTTTCCTCCCCCAGGGGACGGCCGGCGGCTACTTCAACACCCCCACGGAGAGCGGGGGCGGCGAGGCCCGCCGCGAGATCATGCAGAGGGCCTGGCAGGACCGGTCCGGGAGGACCTCGAGCTTCCATCGGGAGCGGAAAAGAGCGGGTGATGACTAGGGGGGGGGGTGGATTTCATGGCGCGGGCCATTTTTTTCCTCAGATTTCATGGCGCCTCTTCTTATTTCATTACGTCCCTGGCCCCCCCCACTGGGCCGCGCACATGCCGCTGGTCATGATTTGCACCCCTCCCTCTTGGACCCCCCCCCCTTGGCCGCTCCCGATTCTAGGATCGACCCTCGAGGATCGAACTTCGAGGGTCGACCCTCGAGGGTCGAGCTTCGAGGATCGAGCTTCCAGGTTCGACCCTCGAGGATCGACCCTCGAGGATCGAATTTGGAGGGTCGACCCTCGAGGATCGACCCTCGAGGACCGACCCTCGAGGATCGAGCTTCGAGGATCGAACTTCGAGGATCGACCCTCGAGGACCGAGCTTCGAGGATCGACCCTCAAGGATCGAGTTTCGAGGATCGAGCTTCGAGGATCGGGCTTCGAGGATCGAAGCTGTTGGGCGCCCGGAGGCCTCTGGGGGGCCACGCTTGAGTCTGGCTTGCCCACGCGCGCCCAGGGATGGGTCCGGGGGGTGGTTTGTGACCCCCCACCAAACCACCCCAACCCAACCCGAAGGCTCAGATTTACCCTCGATTTCCAATGGGGGGGGTCGTGAAACATCGAAAAAACACATGTGGAACCCTTAGCCCCCCCAACCCGAAATTCGGGTCTTCGGGTTGGGTTGGGGTGGTCTGGTAGGTAGTCAAGGGATGGGTCCGGGGGGTGGTTTGTGACCCCGGAGGCCCTGGTGCCGTGGCCAAAGAGACGACACATCAGACGACGCCTCTTGCTGGCAATGTTAGGTTCAAGCACGGGGACCGTCCAAAAGACGGCTCAACGTGAGAAGCTCGTCCTGGGGAAACGGTCAAGTGGGCGGGGACTGTCCATAGAACGGCTCAGGGTGCAAAGCCGGACCCCAGGAGATGGTCCACTGGAAGCCCTCTCCGTGCAAAAGCCACGACGCTGTGGGTTCCTTCCTCTGTCCTCCTTTTCCCCTCGTCGCCCGTGCTTGTGCAAAAGAGCCCCCCTCCTCCTCCTCCTCCTCCTCCTCCTCCTCCTCCTCCTCCTTTTCTTCTTCCTCCTCCTAGTCCTTCCTCTTCTTCCCAGGCGTGCTGTGTCCTGAGTTTCGGAGACGCACCAGGCCTAGGATGGCCTTGGCCAGGCACGGCGGGGAGTAGTCATGAACTGTCGGAAGCTTCGGCCCAGGGTGTCGCGCCGCCGGCTCAGGTCCCACCGCGCTTCGGCGCGGCCCGCCAGTCGCGTCCCAGTCCGCGAGCGCGAGCGTCCCGAGAGTTTCCGGGTTTCGGGTTTCGGGTTTCGGGTTTCGGGTTTCGCGTGTCGCTCCTCCTGCCCCTGCGGAGGGGAGCGACGCGCCGTCTGCTGGCGGGGCCCTGATGTGTGTCGCCGGGGCCGCCGCCGGGGCACGCCGAGAAGCCGAGCCTCAGCATCGTTCATAGCCGACCCCTGCGAGACCCCCACCAAGTTACCCGCCCCCCCGTTGGGGATACCCCCCCCCTCGAAGCCCGAAGGGAACGGCCTGGCATCCCCATCCAGGGGGGGGTAAGTCGGCCAGCGGGGCCCGGGCCTCGCCGCTGGGGAGGGGGATCGGTTGAACGAGACTCCGAGCCTCACCGTGCGCCTGCCGTGCCGCAGGAGCTTCAGAACCAGTGGAGCTGCAAGGAGCAGACCAACAAGGCGGCGTGGAGCGCCCGTCGCGCGCCCGCGCGGGGCACGGCGGGCTCTCGGGGTGGGGTGAGGGGGGGGTGGCGGGCCGTGCTCTGGAGGCTTCCCGGGCTGTCTTCTGGGGCCGGCAGGGAGGGAGGGAGGGGGAGGAGGGGGAGGCGGGGAGGGGCGAGGTTGGGGAGAGCGGGGGGGGCGGGGAGGAGGGAAGGGGAGGCGGAGGGACAGGAGGCTGGACGAGTGAGAAAGAGGCTTCTCGGGCGTTCTGGAGGGGCGCAAGAAATCTCGGGGAGTTCGGAGGGTCAGAATTACGAGGCGTAGGAAGGATGACAGTGAGGAGGAGGAGAAGGGGGGGAAGGAGGAGGAGGAGGAGGAGGAGGAGGAGGAGGAGGAGGAGGAGGAGGAGGAGGAGGAGGAGGAGGAGGAGGAGGGGAGGGGAGGGAGGAGGAGGAGGAGGAGGAGGAGGAGGAGGAGGGAGGAGGAGGAGGAGAGGAGGAGGAGGAGGAGGAGGAGGAGGAGGAGGAGGAGGAGGAGGAGGAGGGGGAGGAAGAACCATATTTATAGTAAGCATAAACATAATAAGAAAACTGATGATACGAATAATGCGACTACGAATAATAATTCGAATCACCCAGTAGTAATCAGATCTACGAATAAACATGACAGTACTACTATTAATAACACTAGTTTTACTATCAGTAGCAGTACTGATACGATTACTACTACTCATAATTCCTACACTAATAATTACAAGACTAGTAGTGACACTATAACGAGTCACACTAATCATAAGAAGAGTAATAAGAATAAGAGGAGGTGGAGGAGGAGGAAGCGGATAGGACGTTCCGATCAGCCGATCATGGTTCGAGCAACGTAAAACGGAGGATGAGCAGTAGGAAGAGCAGAAGGAGGAGGAGGAGCAGGAGGAGGAGGAGCAGGAGCAGGATGATGATGCTGATGATGATGAAGATGATGATGATGATGATGATGATGATGATGATGATGATGATGATGATGATGATGATGATGATGATGAGAGGAGGAGGAGGAGGGAGGAGGGGGGGATGGATAGTGGGACGGGGAGGGAGAAGGGTCAGAAGAGAGAGAGAGCTAGAGGGGACCGAGCCCGAGCAGGAGGATAATGGTCAGGGGGGATGGATGGATTGAAGGAGGAGAGAAAGGAGGGGAGCGAGGGTTAAACATAGGACGAGTATGAGAAGGAGGAGGAGGAGGAGGCGTTGAAGGAGCAGGAGGAGGAGGAGGAGGAGGAGGAGGAGGAGGAGGAGGAGGAGGAGGAGGAGAGGGTTGAAGAGGGCTCTGGACCCCCAACAGCGGAAAGGAGGACAATGCAGGAGCAGGAGGAGGACAACGCATGAGAAGGAGGAAAGGCAAGCGGTGGGGAAGGGAGCGAAGGGGAGGAGAGGGAGGGAGAGTGGGAATGGGAGAGAGCATGGGACAACTGTCGAAGTCAGAACAACAAACAATTTACATTACAAATGTTTGTACCTCAAGCCCCCGTTTCATCCTGTCAAGGAACACCCTCCACTTTCTGCTTCTGGTGGTTGGGTCACAGGGCTGCCTAACCCCCGCATTTGGGCTCGCCGGAACACACATATCTCCCACACGCCCAGTTCCCACACGTCGTCGTCGTCCTCTTCGTCGCCGTCGTCGTCGTCGTCGTCGTCGTCGTCGTCTTCGTCCTCGTCGTCGTCGTCATCTTCGCCAGTGTCGTCGCCATCGTCGGTGTCGTCGATGTTGTGGGTGTCGTCGGTTTCGTGATCTTCAGCCTTTGTGTCGTTGTTGTCAGTGCCATCGTCGTCGTTCCCTTCGTCGTCGGCGGCGCAGCCCCCTCGGCACAAAAAAAGTCGTCGCGGGTGCCGTCGTCGTCGTGGGCGCGGTCGTTGTCGGCGTCGTCGTCGGCGCCATTGGCAGGGGGTTGGCGACTGGCATGGAGCTAGACCCCCTCCCAGAGCCTCCAAACCCTTATCAAGCGTGCACACACATTCCAGAGCCCCCCCCCGAAAAGTTTGCATGGCAGCTCGTCGTAGATCCACCTCGACCCCCCTAAAACAAATAGACCCCAATTTCTATGAGATCCAGAGTAGCAGCTTGGGCGAAGGATGCGCTCACCCCGCCGAGATATGGACTCTCAGTCCGCCTGGTGACCTGAAGACTGCAGCTCCGCCTGGTGACCTGAAGCGAGAAGCTTAACGCGATTTCCAGAGCCCGAACATTGTAGGACCCAGAACGAAGGAGATGAGCTGTGAAGCAACTGATCGCCAGCCCGATTCGCCTGAGCGGGGAGTCCCTGCTGTCGGCGCCTCCCGACGCATCTCCAAACATGTGGAGTGGGGCCTGCTCTGGTCCTTGACCGAGCGCCCTGCTGTCCAAATTGCCTGAACTACCATTGCTGTCCTGCCATTCTTCAAACTCGGGAGAGTTGGGAATCTCTGGCCAGGGCAGCGGGACGGCCCCACGGAGCCAAGAACAAGACACCGCCCCCTCTGAGCGATCACCTCTTTGCAGGGTGGGGGCGAAGGAAGATGATTAGGAGGAGGAGGAGGGGGCGGAGGAGGGGGAGGGGGTGCGAGGGGGGGAAAAGTGATGAGAATGGGGATGATTATGTCGAGGAGGATGACGATGACGATGATGACTATGATAATGATGGTGACCATGATGACGACGACAACGACGACGATGATGATGAGGATGCTGATGATGCTGATGATGCTGATGATGCTGATGATGAAGGCGGTGGGGATGGGCTGATGCTGCTGATGTTTATAATGATGATAACGATGATGATGCTGATGATGCTGATGCTGATGGTGATGGTGCTAGCGAGGAATATTACTAGTAATGCGGGCTGGTGATGGTGCTGATGATGATGCTGCTACTGATGATGATGATGATGATGCTGATGTTGATGCTGATGCTGATCATGATGGTGATGCTCATGATGATGATGATGATGATGATGATGATGATGATGATGATGATTATGATGATGAGGATGATGATCATCATGATGATGATGATGGTGATGGTGATAATGAAGATGATGATGATGATGCTGCTGCTGATGATGATGACGATGATAATGATGATGATGAGAGGGGGGCGGGAAGGGGGGAGAAGACGTGCAGGAAATTATCGCAAACACCCCGCATACATCATCGTTCTTCTCCTCTGTCCAGCTCAACCTGCTCATTTCTCGGTCGTTCGGTCAGCCTGTGTGCAGCCAGGGGACATGATGATGAAGGTGAGGAGGATGAGGAGGAAGGGCGAGTGTGTCCTTGGCCAGCACGGGGCATGCGCTCAGCATGGTGAAGACCACGACGGTGACGATGACG